TTATAACCCCTATTAGGGGACTTCTAACCCCACTTGTAACTACCCATGAACCTTCACGCAAAAAGGCAGCTCGCCAAAGCCGACGTGGCCAGTCGGCCTTGGCGAGCGGACTTTGCAGGGCATGTCGAGCTCCCGGCGGATGGTGTTGTTGGTGGGTGCGCCTTCGGAGGGTTTAGGGTTTAGGGTTTAGGTTTTACCTGGACCCTAAAGAACCTGCCTTTTCAAGGAATTCGAAAGGGAAATCATATTAAAGAAGCCCTAAGAAGGTAGGTTCCTCAGGGTCCAGGTAGCGTTTAGGGTGGGGAAGGGTCCCAGGATGTCCCGCGCAAGTGATGGATGCTGCAAAACTTCGAGCTGTATGCCGAGCAGCAGCTGCTGCAAAATCCAGTTGAGCATCCGGCAGACTGCGACAAACATTCCCCAGAGAGCCCAATACCCCTTAACTAAGGAATATGGCTTATATTACAAGGGACCTCATATTATGATTTAGGCTATATTCCTTAACAAAGGGGTATTGGGCTCTCTGGGTTTGCACCATAGACTGTTGCAAGGCGCACTTGCGCTCTGCAAATGCCTAGCGTGACCGCGCTTGTAACGAACGGCCACTGAGTCTGCCAGCTGGGTGTAGTGAACCGCTCAGAGCCAACCCCTTCTGCATCGAACTGAGTTGCACAAACCTGCTGCTTGCACCTTGCGATAGACCCAGGTTCTGCGGTTGCCAGTGACTGCCCAGAACAAATCGAAGTCCCAACCTCGGTCTGCCCAATACTGATAAGTTGATAGGTCTGCTCGCCTGACCTTGATGTTTGGTAAATCTTCAACTTGAATGTCGCCTTGGAGAAGTTTTTCATAGGTATCGTCGATGTACCGTCCGCAGGAAGGTCTCTGCAATGGAGTCATGGGTAGATAGGATCTGTGAGGGAGCCAAGTCGACAAAGCGCTTAGCCTGAGGCATCGCTAAGATGACTGAAACCTGCTGCCTCGCAGACTGAGCCAAGCAAGCGCGGAACGTTTTTGTATTTTGCCCCAGGTTAGGCTTGTCAGGGCTTGGCGGCTGACAGCAAGAGCTTACGAAAGGTGCAGTCAGTGTGGGGTAACATGCTCGAACGCATGTTAACCTGCAGAAACTGTTGAAACAGCACACAAAGCAACATAACGAAACATGTCCAAGTTCAAGTGGTCGTGCTTCTTGCCGCTCGTCGTCCAAAGAAGCTGTAATCAGAGCTTGCAAGAACAGTTGGAGCTCCATACATGCATGTGTCCTCTAAGGCCTGAAGCAGTACCTCTTGCAGCCCTTGATTGGTGTGAATCCCCATGGCACCCTGCCTATCAGGAACATCGCGTTCCCGGCAAAGGTTCCCACCTCGGGCCGTCGGGATTGTACAACCACGCGAAGTGCTTGCTGCTGGAATGGCAACCATCACAGCAACGGATTGACAGGTATAGTGACTACTCCGGTTCGTGTGAGTACTGAGTACTGCTACTTTTACATTTGTAGCGCTCTCTTATTGTATAAATATAAATATAAATATAAATATATGTATATATACATATATATATATGTATAACACAGACATCCCACTTCTATGGATATTGAGGCCATCACGCGGGTCTGTACTCTTCGCCAAACTTGAGATGGTGCTTGCAGGCTTGTGGGGTGCTGTTGTGAACAGATAGACCAAGTTTTCGTGGGACACTATGATACCACCCCATTTTTTCATGACTCCACTTGAACAGCACCATGAACTTGGAGGCTTGCATGTCATCGAGCTACAGTGAAGACCGAGCTTCATATCCTGGAAAGCAGCCATATATATATATATATAGATATAGAAATATGTGTATATATATATATATATACATATGTATCAAGATGGCATACTAAGGTACGACAACTGACAAAAGGCAAGCCAACCTCAAGTGCACTCCTGTTTCCAAGAAGGCCAACCAGTTGACAAAAGGCACGACAATAAATGCCACACACGATCTACAACACGCGTGATGTGCCTGTGTGGTGATGTGCACACGCGTGCTTGAAATATGCTAACTCAGACTATCAAGAACATGGCTTGCGCAGCTGCACACAGGTTTTGATACCCCATTGGTTGCGCGGCATGCCTTAACACATGACCTTGCAAGTCAGATACAAGAGTTACAAGAGCAAGTAAGTGCATAATCATATAATACCTGTACGATGTACATACATATCCGAGCAAGCGGCCGAGTTCTGGAGCGTCGAAGGCGCAGCAATGAACGCAATAATGTTCCTGGGTTGAGTTTGGGGGCTTGTAGACTCAGGTTCTGCGGTTCTATATTGTAGTATGTTGACGTAGGTTATGCACGCATATTCAATATCTAGTAGTGTATTGTTATATAGTATATTGTCGTATAGTCTAGTGTTTTATCGTTTCATATCGCATATATACTAATGCAAAAACATGCTGTTTGAGGGCTGTGGTGATTACCGCTCGGTACAAGCATCAGGTCTATGGGCCCGGAGTCTGGAGAAGGAGTTCCGACTCTGAAACGATGCAGGAAGGGGTCCAAACAACCAGACTCGTCAAGGTCCACGGTCTCGGTATAAGTTGTCGAGTAGGTAGGGAACCGGAGGATCACAAAAGGAGCCCACACAGCCGGGGTGGGTTGTACTACATCGATTCACGGGAGCTGCGGGGAAAGAGCACTCTAGAAGCTTCAGGGAGCAACTTGATCCCAGACCTTCTATGACATGATGGCGAGATCTCGGACGTTCCGGGTGAATACGGAATAGGTCTTGTGTGCCCTGCCGAGTGGCTGAGCTGGATTCAGCAGGCTGGCAATGGCCATGTTACCTCACGACACAAGCAGATTCGAGAGCGGGCTTTGTCTTGTTGTTGGGGGTTTGCGGCTTAGCTTTCGGAAGGTCAGGGTCCTCCTGGCATTCTTGAACTCTTGGTCTAAAGAGCTAAAAGGCTCACAAAGTCTGATATGACCTGCGGCTCCAGGGGATCAGGAGAAGATGACATTTCCTTGTTCCCTCAGGCCTTCGTGGGACAGCTTTCAGCCTTGACAAGCACGTTTTGTGTTTGGCTGTGCATCTGTCAGCAAAACCTCTGCAGCCAAATCCCTCGACTCACGCCTCCCCCTCCCGCTCCAAAAACAAGTCCGGAATCCTGACCCAACGTCCAAATCCCTCAAACCTAAATCCGAAAACCCTAAGCCCTCAACCCCAAAATCCTATGTATTTCGGATTTGAGACCTGCAGCTGACCTGAAGATTCTAGGCCCAACGGCTTACCCTCGTAACCCGAAACAACATGGGGGCCTTAATCACTACCGTTTTGGGGTCGTCTATCATACTAAAAACTATAAAGCAAATTAGGAACCCTGAGGAACTCTGATACACATTAGAGGGGTGCCGAGGGTCCCAGAGCGAACAGGATGAGGTAAAACATTACTTTCGTCTTCATGACCTGGCCATCTGAGGAGCTTCTTGATGGCTGTCTGGGGTATGGGAGTTTGACATCCGAGGCAGCCTTTCTTTAAAGGGGGGTGGGAGTTTGATGGATTGGCTCTGGGTTGCAATGTTTTGCCGAATTTGGTGCTCACACCCTCCAGGTCTGCTGAACTCGGATGTTGCGGCTGCACCGTTTCGTGGGGACAGGCGTCCTTGCTAACCAGACTCAAGGCATGGGCCGTAGGGCGAGTATCCTCATTGAAGCGAGAAGCGGCTGCTGTAATTCTAAGACGTGTCACTTCATGAGCCCTCCTATACCCATGTGTACACTCAAGTACTTTGCCCTAAGCCCCTATATGCAAAAAAAACGAAACCCTCTAATCATCCTATACGATGTATCTCAGGAAGTCGTCCCCAGGCCTTCCACATTTCCTTGATGACGTCCTGCGGACTGTGCATCAGGACCACCTGCTGCGGCGGGTCCTTCCACTCTCGTCGCAACAACAAGTTCGGCCGAAGACTCAACTATAAACCCTAAACTCCTAAATCCCTAAACCCCAAGCCATGCACCCTCCACGCCACACCCAATTACATCTTCCAGAGAAGGCTATGCGAAAGCACCGCAAACACGGCTTCCCACAAATAAAGACCATGTAATGCGGGTCCAGGACGTTCCTTGCTATTACGCCCCTAGACACTTTGGATCTTCCCTGGAGGACATTCCACCCCAGGGTCCTGCAACAGGTAGACCATGAAGCCCCAAAAAGGCAAGGCCATGCAGACCAAGACCAGGTGGACCTGGCTCGGTCGGTAGGTAGGTAGGTAGGTAGGCAGGCAGGTAGGCTGGCAGGCAGGCAGGTAGGCAGGAAGGTCGGTAGGCAGGTAGGTAGGTAGGTAGGTAGGTAGGTAGGTAGGTAGGTAGGTAGGTATGGTAGGTAGGTATGGTAGGTAGGTATGTGTGTATGTGTGTATGTGTGCATGTATGCATGTACGCATGTATGTATGTATGTATGTATGTATGTATGTATGTATGTAGGTATGTATGTATGTTTGTACGTATGTATGTATGTATGTATGTATGTATGTATGTATGTATGAATGTATGTATACATATGTATGCATGTATGTATATGTAT